ATGATTAACACTCAACACAATAACAAAAAACTAGAGTATTCAAATTGTAATACATTTGACTAAATTACTCACTCAAAATGTACCAAGTATAATATACTGAACAAAAATATAAACGCAACATGTAAAGTGTTGGTCTCATGTTTCATGAGCTGAAATAAAATATCCAATACATTTTCCATAGGTACAAAAAGCTTATTTCTCTTAAATTTTGTGCACAAATGTGTTTACATTCCTGTTAGTGAGCATTTCTCCTTTGCCAAGATAATCCATCCACCTGACAGGTGTGGCATATCAAGAAGCTGATAAAACAGCATGATCATTACACAGGTGCACCTTGGCCACTCTAAAATGTGCAGTTTTGTCACACAACACAATGCCACAGATGTCTCAAATTTTGAGGGAGCGTGCAATTGGCATGCTGACTGCAGGAATGTCCACCAGAGCTGTTGCCAGAGAATTTAATGTTCATTTCTCTACCATAATGCCATTTTAGAGAATTTGGCAGTACATCCAACCGGCCTCACAACCGCAGACCACGTGTAACCACGCCAGCCCAGGAGTTGAGGAGTATTTCTGTCTGTAATAAAGCCCTTTTGGGGGGGAAAACGAATTCCGATTGGCTGGGCCTGGCTCCCAGGCCCACCAATGGCTGCACCCCTGCCCAGTCATGTTAAATCCATAGATTAGGTCCTAATGATTTTATTTCAGTTGACTGATTTACTTCTATGAAGTTCTACTTATAAATATTATGTACAAATATATCCAAAATGTGTACCAGAGGGCAATATTCAGAAAGTATTTCAAAACCCACACAAAGTAGGCTATTTGATTGACAACGATTCTTACTTCTGTAACAATGTAAAAATGCAAACAACTATTCAGTGACTATTTCAAAATGTAGGTAACCTCTCTCAATAAGATTTAGTACAGACCAGGCCTGACACAAAATGGAGAAATAGTAGCCTACTTTACATTTACATTACATTTACATTTCTACTTTGACAACAATTAAGTGAATGCAACAAGTATTAGATAAGATAGATAAAGAGAGACAGCTGTTCAGAGACAATAAAAGATTTGTAGGACAAATTCATATTTCACACTGTCACTTTAGTGTTTGCATTTAGCCTACAACATGTCATGGAACTTCTGGAAGCACTGCCCCATCATGCAAAGTGGCACAGAACACGTAGAGCACCCAAAGGAGGTTTCTACACATCTCCCACCCTTTGCCTTGCGTCCACTCCGGATGCACACCACTCTTGCGCCCTTCAAACTTCACCTGCTTTCAAATGAGTAACAACTCGGTCCACACGCCCTCTTGGCTCCCCTCTTCCTGCCACTGTAGCCATATCACAAAGTGAATGCACAAGCTGCTTTTTGAATCCCTTCAGGGACCAGTGCCTGCAGTTTCTGGGAAGGGGCCTTTGCAGTACCCCCCACACAATGTACGCATTTATGATGACAATGTTGAGCATCCCCCAAAACACATACTTACACCATTTTCTGCCTGTGCGTCCAATATTGTAATAAGTTGTCAACCCTGCCCAAGATGGTCAACCCTGCCCAATTTCTTGTTGTAATCCATTACAAGCTCTGGAAAATATATAAGTTCATACCACTTTTAAAAACAACTCCAAAACCCCATGCCACTGTCACTTTAGGCCCTGGCTGTGTGGTACATGGGTGAATGGTGTGACACACTCCATGGAAACGTAGGCTCCCCTCTCAGGTATGCTCTCCCTCTTCCCCTCCCTCTTCCTCCTCCTCTCCCTCTGCTTCCTCCTCTCCCTCTGCTTCATCCTCTCCAAGTTCCTCTCCCTCCACTCTCCTCTCCCCTCTCCTATTCCTCTCTCCCTCCACTCTCATCTCCTTCACTCTCCTCTTCTACTCTCCCTCAACTCCTCCCTCCTTGCTCCACATCTCTGTCCATCCAATCAACTCTAACTCCTCTTCCTCCCTGCCTTTTGCTGCTGAGCCCTGACTCCCCACATCACTTCCCTCACTTTCACTGACATAGAGAACAGAGTAACAGAGGGAGAGGAGCAACAAATAGGATACAATTTTAGTCAGGAACATAATCTTACTCTCTCTTCCTCTCTCACGGTCTCTCTCTTCCTTACTCTGTTTCTTTTTCTCAACCATACACATACTCTCTTCCTAATAAGAGGTTTCCATATTAACTTCTGTGATACAGTGACAGGCCTCCCATTCCACCCTCTCTCTCTCTCTCTCTCTCTCTCTCTCTCTCTCTCTCTCTCTCTCTCTCTCTCTCTCTCTCTCTCCAATCAACTGTTGCTTTCTTGCCTGAATGACTAACTACAGAGTTCGCCAATGTTAGCTGATTAGTTACAAAGCTGGGACAGTTTCCAAATGAATTGCATCGGTAGAAACAGGACAAAACAAGCGACTTGTTAGCTGGCTATATAAACAAATATCCAACTCATCATATGAGCTCCACTGTGCTGGCATCTACTACCCTAACACGACAGCTAAGCTGTCAAATAATGGGAAGACGAGGCAATGTATAGCCTATGAATACAGTGCATTCAGAAAGTATTTAGATCCCTTGACTTTTTCCACAATTTGTTACGTTACAGCCTTATTCTTAAATGATTTAAATGAATGTTTTTCCTCATCAATCTACACACAATACCCCATAATGACAAAGCGAAAACAGGTTTTTAGAAATGTTAGCAGACCATTATTCCTCCTCCACCAAACTTGACAGTTGGCACTATGCATTGGGACAGGTAGCGTTCTCCTGGCATCCGCCAAACCCAGATTTGTCCATCAGACTGCCAGATGGTGAAGCGTGATGGCCAGAGAACGCATTTCCACTGCTCCGGAGTCCAATGGCGGCGAGTTTACACCACTTCAGCCGACGCTTGGCATTGCGCATGGGGATCTTAGGCTTGTGTGCGGCTGCTCAGCAATGGAAACTCATTTCATGAAGCTTGTGATAGAAAGTTATTGTGCTGGTGTTGCTTCCAGAGGCAGTTTGGAACTCGGTACTGAGTGTTGCAACCGAGGACAGACGATTTTTATGCGCTACACGTTTCAGCACTCGCCGGTCCCGTTCTGTGAGCTTGTGTGGCCTACTACTTTGCGGCTGAGCAGTTGTTGCTCCTAGACGTTTCCACTTCACAGTAACAGCACTTACAGTTGACCGGGGAAGCTCTAGCAGCATAGACATTTTCCAAACTGACTTGTTGGAAAGGTGGCATCCTATGACGGTGCCACGTTGAAAGTCACTGAGCTCTTCAGTAAGGCCATTGTGCCAGTGTTTGTCTATGGAGATTGCATGGCTGTTTGCTCGATTTTATACACCTGTCAGCAACGGGTGTGGCTGAAATAGCCGAAACCACTAATTTGAAGGGGTGTCCACATACTTTTGTATATATAGTGTATTATTGTTAGAAAAACAAGGTCGTTCGCGGCCGCTATAGTAATTCAAAGAAAGGCCGCCGACGGCTGTTATGGGTTCTAAAGGGTTTTAAGGAAGTTATTAAAAAAACTATAATTAACCTATAATTTCCGTTCTCAGACCGTTAATAAAACCTCCCAGAAAAACTTTAAAGAAACCAGAGCAAAACGTTCTCGGAACCTCCCTGCAACCTAAAAATAAATGTTCCCGAAATAGGCGAAATGTTCACTTCAGTTCACAGAATACTTACTAAACATTCAATTTTACCAGTCAGGAAACGTATGGGTTAATTCCCAGAACCAATGGGAAACCACAAACTTACTAGCTGCGTATAATTGGAAATACATTAGATTTTCAGGGGCAGTTGCAGAATGGGGCTAGGTGATCTTTACATGTACCCACAGCAGCACAATGTGGGGGCGTGAGGACAATGTGCACAGAGTAGAATAGAGTGGGGCGCTGTAAACAGTCTGGCAGAAATGATGTGCATGATATGGAGGCATATCATGTTCCTTTTGATCCTACAGAGTTTTCCTATTACAAAAACACTGGTTATAAAATGGTAATAAGTAAGGTGTTATGATACTGTCTGCATTTATTCTGGAGAGTTCTTGGACAGTTTTATTTTTGTATTCTGTACCACCATCACCAACCCTTCCCAATTTCTTGCACTGCTGCCAGAAAAGCTGAATAAAAGCTAATCCTTGTTCTTGATGATATTAAGATGTTTGAAATGCCATGTTCCTCGCTACACAACAGGTTGCACTAATCTTTTTATTTGTTCTAGTGAATGTCTGTGGTCACATCCACATTCCCACCAGACATGAAAAGGGGAGCCCTTTGTGAGCCAGTATCTCAATTGAATTAATCCCACTGTATATATATTACAGACATCCGCTCCCTCCCCTATATATAATGGATTTTTAAATTTAGGGATTTAGGCTCAAGTTAACCAAGGAAAAGGGTGCTTGCTTGATAACCATTAGGCCTATATTTTCTAAATAAGGTTAGCACAAGTTGTTTGTACATAAGTACAGTCAGGGGGATACGGCTCATAACACCACATCACTTTACAACAAAGTCTGTAAAAAAATATTTGGGTAGAGCAATGAAAGGTCAAAAGTCAGCCCTATCACTCTCTTATCCTTCACAGACATACAATTTATGCAACAACCCTCACAATCAGTTGGCCTTTTTTCTAAAATATATTATGGTGTAATGGTTGGGCACATCCTCCCTTTTCAACTGCACTCCACATTATTCTCAACATCAGTAGCCTACTCTTGAAAATGACACGTCCAATTAGACCCAAATTAGATACCATTTGAATGATGGATGGAACATGTGCCATGGCATTGCGCAATGGCGTTGCGTAATTGGGCTACAAGAAAATATTGTGCATATGTCTGTCCTATCGCCTATAGTTAAAAATGGTAGCGTTAAAATAGTATTTTCCCACATTAAAGAACTGCAAATCCCGTTTTCGTAGGCGGAGTTACCATCTCCATGTGCACAGGGTTTTTTTTTTAAATGCTGGAGATGTGTTTGGAGAAAAAGTGTGTCACTGGGACACGAGGCACTCCCGGGGGTCACATGGTCCCGTTTTCAGCCGCGTGCGGGCAGGCATGCAGTGCGTCCTCGTTCGTTTCCTAGGGATGAGCGAGACTGAGCAAAACCAGGCCGATTTGGAAACTGCGGCTCAGACCTACACGGATAGAGCCAGTGACAGCATAGACGCTTTTCGTAATTTTTTCACTGACACTGCTCACAGAGAAGTGATTCTCTTTACGCAGGAACTTGGTCGATAGCAGATGCATCCTTTGGTACAGTTTATTAACGTTGGTTCTAAATATTTTAATGAGTATTCGAACTCAAACAGAGCTATTATTATAAAGAGGAACATAATGACATCGTTATAACAGAGAATATATATTAAGGACCTGCTTTTTGCCAAGAAATTATCCTTTCCCAAGCTGTTTTCTTTTTTCACCGATATCTATATGAATGTTTTGGAGCTCAGGATGGCAACAACAGCAATGGACACAAATAACAACAATACAGGTAAATGTTCAGGATTATTTTGTTGTGCGTGTTTAATGGATGCCGTATTTGTGGTTATAATGTGTTTTACGCATATTGTTTTGGCTACCTGGCTTGCTGGCAGTCTGCTGAAGCTCTTTACAGTTTGTTGTTTATCAGTCCGAAATGCGTAAATCAATGATGAGTTGTATTGTATTGATGTACACCTGTCGATTAAGTAGAGCCACTTTTGTATATGGGACTTACGTGGCATCCTTGTGATGCAACACTAGATGGGGGAAAGTTCAGTGGGTCTCTGTACAGTTCTCCTCATGCCAAACCTCTGCCAAACCTCAGTGCATGACTGATTATGCTTGAAGTAGGCCTATTCCTTATACAGTGTGTATTTTGCATTCACTGATGATTGTGTGTTATCGTTACTGTAGCCTATAGATTTTACCCCAACTGTTCGACATAATTGTCATTGTCAAGGTCGAATTACTGGCCTCAGTAAAAGTAAAATGAAGAAATATTGTATCGTGAAGTTTGTAATAGCCTATAAGTTATCTGTACATTTCCTTAAAGAAGTATTTCAAATACTATACATTGTTTGATGGTGTGCGTGTGGTAGGTAGAAAATCATGGGTTAAGACAGTGTTCTAAAATAGTTCGGGGGGAAGTAGGTCATGTCAGGTGTACGGACATCCCTTTGATGCAGGCATCCGCGCATGTTTTTGGCCCAATTCACATGGCCCGCCAAGCTAGCCATGTGCGTTTTGTTTTCAATCACTGTTCTCCACCAATCACCATTGGTATAGAGAGCAAGCTCATTACATAATTTCTCGTCAGAGTCCCATGTGTGAAGCAGTATTGGATGCCATGTGCGCACTGCTATTGGATAGCTGGCGGGTGAAATTATTGCGATTCGATCAGGACGTCTTTGAGTCACGTGTTAGATTGAAAAGTGGGACACGAACATTTATGTAAGGCATCGTAATTTATTGTTTCTGGCATAATTACACTGGCATAACCAAATACTTGCTCGGTGATTTGGGCATTTCCTTTCGATATCGAAGATGTCCAAAATAAAACTACCTTTATTATATTATTATTAGGGCAAGGCGATAGTAGGTCTAATAAAGCATTTATAGGTTCATTCATTCGAATATAGGTTGAGTAAATACATGTCCAATACAGAAAATAATATTGTACAGCTACAACATAGCAAAGTGAAAACATTGATAGGTACCAAGCTTTTCAGTTCTATTCAGCAAGTATGCTGTAAATTACATTAGAATATCTAATGAGTATATTGTGGGAATTGACTGTCTATTAGGTACCATGGATAGCGCCAGGCGGGTGGGAACGTGAGGCTGTCCTAGAAACAGTTGGTGTGTTCTATGGGCGTGTATTGCGCAACCAGTCAGGTTGACAGTCTTTTTATTTTTTTTATTGATTGAGGTTGCCAGTCTCGTTGAACACCCTGATGTCGGAGGCGCGCACGTTGAGTAGGGGCGTGACTAGAATGTACTCCAGCCAGCCTACACTAGTGTTGCTCCTCGAGCAACACAAGTCTTCTGCCCAACCTGTTTTCATTCTATGGCTCTCCCACGCATAGCTTTCGATGTATTATTATATTTATTTCAAGTACTTCACTCTGAATGTATGTTTACTCACAAAGACTAATTCAATATTCAGAGCTATATCTATTGATATTGTTTCATCATTTCACATTGACTTTACAAGTGTTGGTTTAAATGGCAGGTTATTGATTTTGATAGAAAAGCAATCTTTATTTTCCACTCACTGATTGGTTATTGTGGGTAATACATTTTTTTTAGATAGAAAGACAGGAGGTGGAAGACAGAGCAAAAGGGAGTGAAAACATGAGATGGAGAGAGAGGGAGGAGCGTTAATACTATAACACCAGGCAGGACAAGCAAGTGCACATGTTGTGGATATTATGGTGACACCTGACACAGTGACCCTATAAGACCTTATGTTCCTTTCCACAGTGAATTATGTTTCTCCCTCAGGGCTGCCTGGTTGGCTGGAATCTGAGATTGGAATGTCTCAAAAAGAACAGAACAGGACAGACAAACATTCTCTCACTGTTTGTGCAATCATCCAGATTTAAATGTCAGGATCACAGAACAGAAGTATAGAGTTTGGTTTTATTGAGCACAAAACAATGATCCCATCATTCAATAGGCCTCAACAACACCAATAAAATGTCCTGCAAAGGTATCAAAGACTCCTTAAAACAACACATTATCTCCTCACAACAACACATTATCTCCTTACAACAACACAATACAGTTGATCTGGTATTAGAGCACAGGTTAATTGGGGTCAACAGGAAGTGCAGAAAGTATTGGGCACATGCTTTGTAGGTTCGGCTTTCGGCAGGGACGCTGTGTGTGGCAAATGGCGGGGCACACCACTTGGCATTTAAAAAGCGATTAGCAATTCCCGGTAGCCTTGTGCGTGGCACCCCCCGGCGACCGGGCACGAGTTGGTGTGTGGGTGGCCAGCTGTGGCGAAACGTGATCCTTGGACGGAACTTGTGAGAATTAGCCTTCACAGCGGGAGAAACTGAGACAGCTGGATTAGAACAAGAGGCAGGGAGAAAGAGAATGAAAGTGAGAGAGGGAGAAGAGAAACAGAGTATGAGCAAGATAGAGTACAGAGGAGAGGGGGTGTGAAGAGAAAAGAACAGGGAGTTTCAAGGAGAGTGAAAATAGAGAGATGGAGAGAAAGGAAAGTAGGGCAAGGGAACGTTGTCAGGAGAGTTCCAACAAAGAGAGAGAGAGAGAGCGCAAGAGTATCTACATCCACTCGTGTGGGTGGCTATGTCTGGCCAATGAGACTGCACAACAGCAATAGCACTGTCTGTGCTATTGGGCAGCATCCAAAAAGAACATGCTCATTCTTCATGCTGCATTAGCGTCTTCCCATAATGTAAATAATGTTCTGTAGGCGATGCTTGCTCACGGGGCACAACCCACACAGGACAATCTTGCCCTTATGGCTTCCTATAAATGTACTCTGTGGTCAGGGCATCTGTTTTGGAAAGAGTGGTGGCCTCTGAACTAGAGAAATAAACGGAAAGCCAGTCAGGGCAGCCTTTCCTGCCAACATTTCCTGGAAAGCAGTGTTCTTTTCCAGCCACTTGTCTTCTTGGACTCTCCCCAGCCACTCTGTTGCTATGGGTATCCTAACATTGCCACGGTTTCCTTGCCTTGCATAATTGTCCTGTGTAGCTAAGGGAACATTTGGAATGTACAGAATTATACAAAGTTGCAGCCACCCCCTCGTTTTTTGTCAGTGAACGTGAATGGGCGCAATATCAATCCGAACCAGTGGGCGTCCTCTCTCTAACCCTCTTCCTCTTGACCTCTTCTGTCAGTTGACTGATGTCCAGTGGTTAGAGGCAAAGAACGGAGCACTAAATGTGACAAATCAAATGATCTCACTGTTTTTAAACCACACATCCATTCTAACAAGTTGTCCTCTCGCTTTTGCATTTGTCCACCAGGGGGCGTAATATCCTACATCGGCTCCAGTAGCTGCTCACCGAACCGCACCAGCCCGGTGTCTATGTACAGCGAGAACTCCTTTGGGGCCTCCTTCCCTCCCTCCCCCAACAGCTCCCAGGGCTACTCCAGTGCCTACTCCGGCAGTGGCAGCTCCAGCTCCTCCAATGGTGATGATGGCAACTCCTCTTCCGGCTCCGGAGGGTCCCCAAGGCCTAGGGGTCGTAATGACAACAGCATCTCTCGCTGCTCCCCCAGCAAGTCCGTGGCAAGCGTTACCAGTAAGTAGACCCCCATACCAGAACCTATCTGTCACTGCTGGAACTGCAGCTTTAAGTGTTTTTGGAGCTTGGACTCATTGTCTGACCTTCTCTTTATGTTTGTAACAGAACTAAATGGGATGGTGCTGCTGTGTAAAGTGTGTGGAGACGTCGCCTCAGGCTTCCACTATGGCGTCCATGCCTGTGAGGGCTGCAAGGGATTCTTCCGACGCAGTATCCAGCAGAACATCCAGTACAAAAAGTGCCTGAAGAACGAGACCTGCACCATCATGAGGATCAACCGCAACCGCTGCCAGCAGTGCCGCTTCAAAAAGTGTCTGTCCGTGGGCATGTCCCGCGATGGTAAGCATAGCTTTACATGCTAAAACATGACACAAATAGCCACAAAATGGCTGATAGATCTATTACACTCTCATCCCTATTAGGACTGTTGACTTGACATTGGTCTCTTTCTCTCTCTCCAGCTGTACGCTTTGGCAGAATACCTAAGCGTGAGAAGCAGCGCATGCTCGCAGAGATGCAGAGCACAATGAACAACATGAACAACATGCAAAATGAGTTCCAGCTGGCCAGCCTGACCCACAACTCTCCCCCTTCTCCCACTTCCTCCTCTCCCTGCCCAGGTCTGACTGTGGCACCCCATCCCCAGCCTCAGGCCCTGCCTTTCGCCCCTTCCCCCTCTCCTCCAGCACAAGCCCCTGCTTCCCCTCTGCCCCTACCATCCACCCAAAGCCCGTCAATGTTGGCCAGCTCTCCACCCCTGTGCCCCAGCCCTGGGGTGGACTGCACCATAACGGCCATTACCCGGGCGCACCGTGAGACCTTTGTCTACGCCCACGATAAGCTGGGCGAGTCCACGAGACAGCATAACGGAGAGGTGGACAACTGGGGCTCCAACTACTGTCCTGCAGGCTACCATCAGAACGGCCTCAACACAATCTACCACCACAACAACAACGTGGCCCTCCAGCACCATGGCTTCCAGGCCATGTCTGACAGACATCATCAGAACAACGGCAAGCAGTTCCACAACAGCAACCTGTTTGGGAGCCACCAAGGCATTGAGACCAGCAGCGTCTCCCAGGGGCAGAACTTCCCATGGAAAAACCACAAGGACATTGTGCTGGTGAGTCACTAAACAGAGCTGCAACATTGAAAAGATCTTGATGTTAAAGATTGTCAATAATAGTGTCATGTAGTCATAGCATATAGGAAAATGCTGATTACGATTCTCCTCACTCCTCCAGGCATGTCCAATGAACATGTGCCCCCAAGCCGAACCCAACAAGACCCCCCAGGAGATCTGGGAGGACTTCTCGCTCAGCTTCACGCCGGCTGTGCGCGAGGTGGTGGAGTTCGCCAAGCACATTCCAGGGTTCAGTGCACTCTCAGAGAACGACCAAGTCACCCTGCTCAAGGCCGGCACCTTTGAGGTAGGCATCCGTGAAATGTGTGCAAACACAGATATGCAAAGAAACTTCACTCAGTGATCAACAAAAATACTCACAGCTTGAGAAGATACGATGACTCACCACTCACTCGCTTTCCCCTTGCTTCTGTTACAGGTCTTGATGGTGCGCTTTGCCTCCCTCTTTAACGTGAAGGAGCAGACGGTCACCTTCATCTCTGGTGCCACCTACAGCCTGGAGAGCCTGAAGGGCATGGGCATGGGAGGCCTGCTAGACACCATGTTTGAATTCAGCGAGAAGCTCAACTCCCTGGAGCTCACGGCCGAGGAGCTGGGTCTCTTCACCGCTGTAGTGCTAGTGTCTGCAGGTAAGAACAATGAGAAGCCTTATTTATTACTTTAACAACATATCTAAGCAGTCAGAGCTCAAGTACTGTACTTCTCCTGCCAGTAAATCACCATGACTAATGTTCCCTCTAAGCTGTGTGCGGGATTGCCGTGCAGAATAAATATCAGCCCGCGCAGAGAAGCATGAGATTGAACTTCACTCAACTTTCTAGAGTTTTCCCCCTTAGTTGACACTATCAATGTTTCCCTTTACTGTGGGAATTGTGATCAAATCAACGCAATATTAGCCACTTTCAATGCAACAAAACAAACTATGCAAGGGATTTTGTTGTAGGCAGAATGCATCGGAGTAGGATTCTATTGCATTGACACGCACGACTCAGCCCGTACACTACACAGACTGGTGCGGCATAACCAATCAGAGCTGCAGTAGGCCTATATGCAAATAGGCTATTACCATATATGGATCTGGGCCATTCACTTTGAACTGGACTGTGTTTACAGCATGAGCGGTCATGAGTAGATGCGCTTGTTTTGAGATAAAAGCAAGCGCTGCATGTAGCCAGGTGTTCATATCCTTTGCTAGTCAGTGAGTTATTAGCCCAGTTGGGGCGGCAGGTAGCTTAGTGGTTAAGAGCGTTGTGCCAGTAACCAAAAGGTCGCTGGTTCTAATCCCTGAGCCGACTAGGTGAAAAATCTGTCGATGTGCCCTTGAGCAAGGCACTTAACCCTAATTGCTCCTGTAAGTCGCTCTGGATAAGAGCGTCTGCTAAATGACTAAAATGTTATAGATCATTTGTAGTCAGCAATGGGGGAGTGAATGCTTCCTACAAGAGCACAAAACGTGTACATTTCTAGAGTTGGATAAAGAGCTTTTTTTTGTCTTGTATTTTGAGAGAGGCTTGAATAAGCTATGTTTCAAAAAGGCAGTGGCATCATTTGTCTGATTCTCTGTAATAATGGTATGGGAATAATAATGCATTTTATTTTGTAAAGTAGTTTCATCAAACAACACAACAACATTTTCAGTCAAGCCCTGCATGTTTTTTTTCAAATGTCTCATGGAATGTAGGCCTACATTGAACACCACACATTACTTTAGGCTGAATAATAGAACAGCTATTTCCATGTTAAAATGTTATGGGATGCATTTTTTTCTCCATTGTTTTTGATGGTAGGCCTACATTATGATCAAATAGCCACAGTAGCCTACTTAACCACTGTCTGAAACTGTTACTTAAAGCGGGTACAGCCTCAGTGTTTTGTGCACTGGAAGTTGCACAGAATTTTCACAATGTTCAAGTTTGCGCTCAGCAGGCCTGAAATTTGCTCAGTGCCGAAGAAAATTAGAGGGAACATTGACCACGACACTTAAAAAAATCACTCACTATTATGGCATAGTAATGGTCTGTACTAACGTGTAAAGTAGTCTAACGGTGCTCTCTTTCTTATCTGTCCTCTTTCAGATCGTTCAGGCATCGAGAACATAAACTCAGTGGAGCTGCTTCAGGAGTCTCTGATCAGAGTGCTGCGTGCCCTGGTCAGCAAGAGCAACCCCTGCGACGCCTCTCGCTTCACCAAGCTGCTACTCAAGATGCCCGACCTGCGCACCCTCAACAATATGCACTCAGAGAAGCTGCTGTCTTTCCGCATCGACGCATAAGAATGTCGCCACTGATGACAAGAAAACCCGTCTGGAATCGTCGCCTATCTCCACCTCACAGACAGTGGTGGTTGGGCGGCTAAGGGGTGGGGCAAGTTGGGAGAGGTGACAGGGGATCTTATTCCACCTGCTCGCTTGCCCCCTTTCAGGGACACCCGCCCGCCTCCGAGTTGACTGATGTGCACATCAGCCAATGACATGGCCGAGAGACAGTGACTGACAACTGAGAGGGGTAGGGCCAATAGACCCATGGAGAGGAGGGAGACGAAGCCCTCTACATAAATGATTTTAGGTGGTCGCAGCTCAAAACTGCCCAGAACAAGTGCCCCCTCTACACCAGCTGGTCTGAGGGGGCCAGAGACCACTTGTCGGTTGAGGTGAACCCAAAACCAGCATGGGGCTTTACTACCCCACATGTCCAGCTAGGCCTGGTTCCTTCCAAGAGGCTGCTATATGCATATTAAACCATCTGCTCTCTGTTTTATCACAACTGTAAATAATCAGTCAAATGTATGCAGTGTTGTACACTTGATTCATACTGAAAACTGAGTTTGTACAAATTTGTAAATATAAACATCAATAGGCCTACTTCAAATGTTTGGAAAAATATTTTTTTTTTTGTTAAGATGAAATGCTCAAAGGTGCAAAGTTATAAATGTGTGGGTACACATGTATACACTTTATTTGAGTGTATGGGTATGAAAAACAATATCCTGTAGTTCAAAAATGTTTTATGTAAAGAAGGCATTATAAAAAAAATACTTACTTGAATTCCTTTGTGTGATCTTTTTCTGTAGTATCGATCTTGTTATTCTACTTCTGTCTGGGACTGGGTTGGAGAGACATCACCTAGCTTTTAGAGGGCTGAGCTATGTAATCAATTAGCCACGTCACCCACATGTCACAACACTCACTGATGTTGCCTACTGACCAATGACCAAGGCTTCACATTTGCTTGGATAAGGTCTTAGTTATGGAATCCATTTCTAGTTTGAGTAACCAAGTCCACTTTGACCTTGAGATTAATTTATTTGAAAGGACATGCTGACAGTAATAATAACCCCTTCATTAGTAACAGATTATTGCCGTAGTTCAAGGTCTTATCAATAATTATTGAAGGATAGTGGGGTATCTTCAGTTGAAACAGACCATGTGAGTGTCAGCTCTGAGTGACAGTGTAGTGCCGAAAAGCATGCTCTCTTCAGAAAACCAAAATTCAATCTACTTTCATAGAACACACTACAAGCAGGTGTAAATCTTATCCATTTATAAAACCACTCAAAACATTTCTCATGTTTCTGTTTGTTTCCTCACCACGTCATGACAGCGACCACAAAGTACTGTATATGTTCTGCATTGTAGCCAATAGTCAAATACACTGCTCAAAAAAATAAAGGGAACACTTAAACAACACAATGTAACTCCAAGTCAATCACACTTCTGTGAAATCAAACTGTCCACTTAGGAAGCAACACTGATTGACAATAAATTTCACATGCTGTTGTGCAAATGGAATAGACAACAGGTGGAAATTATAGGCAATTAGCAAGACACCCCCAATAAAGGACTGGTTTTGCATGTGGTGACCACAGACCACTTCTCAGTTCCTATGCTTCCTGACTGATGTTTTGGTCACTTTTGAATGCTGGCGGTGCTTTCACTCTAGTGGTAGCATGAGACGGAGTCTACAACCCACACAAGTGGCTCAGGTAGTGCAGCTCATCCAGGATGGCACATCAATGCAAGCTGTGGCAAGAAGGTTTGCTGTGTCTGTCAGCGTAGTGTCCAGAGCATGGAGGCGCTACCAGGAGACAGGCCAGTACATCAGGAGACGTGGAGGAGGCCGTAGGAGGGCAACAACCCATCAGCAGGACTGCTACCTCTGCCTTTGTGCAAGGAGGAGCAGGAGGAGCACTGCCAGAGCCCTGCAAAATGACCTCCAGCAGGCCACAAATGTGCATGTGTCTGCTCAAACGGTCAGAAACAGACTCCATGAGGGTGGTATGAGGGCCGACGTCCACAGGTGGGGGTTGTGCTTACAGCCCAACACCGTGCAGGACGTTTGGCATTTGCCAGAGAACACCAAGATTGGCAAATTCAACACTGGCGCCCTGTGCTCTTCACAGATGAAAGCAGGTTCACACTGAGCACGTGACAGACGTGACAGAGTCTGGAGACGCCGTGGAGAACGTTCTGCTGCCTGCAACATCCTCCAGCATGACCGGTTTGGCGGTGGGTCAGTCATGGTGTGGGGTGGCATTTCTTTGGGGGGCCGCACAGCCTTCCATGTGCTCACCAGAGGTAGCCTGACTGCCATTAGGTACCGAGATGAGATCCTCAGACCCCTTGTGAGACCATATACTGGTGCGGTTGGCCCTGGGTTCCTCCTAATGCAAGACAATGCTAGACCTCATGTGGCTGGAGTGTGTCAGCAGTTCCTGCAAGAGGAAGGCATTGATGCTATGGACTGGCCCGCCCGTTCCCCAGACCTGAATCCAATTGAGCACATCTGGGACATCATGACTCGCTCCATCCACCAACGCCACGTTGCACCACAGACTGTCCAGGAGTTGGCGGATGCTTTAGTCCAGGTCTGGGAGGAGATCCCTCAGGAGACCATCCACCACCTCATCAGGAGCATGCCCAGGCGTTGTAAGGAGGTCATACAGGCACGTGGAGGCCACACACACTACTGAGCCTCATTTTGACTTGTTTTAAGGACATTACATCAAAGTTGGATCAGCCTGTAGTGTGGTTTTCCACTTTAATTTTGAGGGTGACTCCAAATCCAGACCTCCATGGGTTGATAAATTTGATTTCCATTGATAATTTTTGTGTGATTTTGTTCTCAGCACATTCAACTTTATAAAGAAAAAAGTATTTAATAAGATTATTTCATTCATTCAGATCTAGGGTGTGTTATTTTAGTGTTCCCTTTATTTTTTTGAGCAGTGTATATTGTAGCTAACCAAAATGCAGAATTGTTGCGCTCTATCTGCCCGGTAGTTGTTACCAAGTAAGGGTATGATACTAGTGATCAGATTAAAAATAAGGAAAGACGATGATTTTGTTAGCAAAAGTCGATGAACTACAGTCCTGCAGACAAATCGTAGGTTAGAAACTGTATTATGTAATAAATATGTATACGTAGGAACATTTCCAAGGACGCCAGGTTCTTCATGAATGAGCTATTTGTAATTTACTGTATATAACCGTTATACACTTCTATAACATAAACAACAAGTAATTGTCTGTGTAAAACTGCCCTAGGGAAAGCTAGGGAGCTCCCAGTCCATAGACACGGGTATTACTTGGGGACAAAAACAAAGTAGGATTGATGCTGTTTGATAAGACTACAATATCACATTGAAGAGAGAAAAACAAGATCCCTTTCACTTGGGTCCACAGTGTAATGGAATCTGATCTATGAAGAAGATTATCAAACCCCCCAATCCCTCTTCAACCACAAAGCAAGGAGAGGAGACTGTAACCTAATTACTGCAGAAGCTGCTGCCACATGGATCAGAAGTGGGTCAAACCGTCAGCATAACCAACTTTTCACAGCTCCGACATTGGCCCAGCCTGCTGCATCCCGGGGAGCCTATTGAAAGGCAGCTGGTGAGGAGTGAAGCATGAAGGGTACCTGTGACAGGTATGAAAAGCGAGAGGGAGAGCAGGCTCTGAAGTCGAAGCGCCAAGTAGCTCAAACGATTAGTTACCGGAGTGTAACTCCAGTTCTATGAGTGGAGCGGAGCCCCATAGGGGAGCTCTGCTCCTATTGGTTTACCCACTGCCCTAAGGCAGCATCAGCCTGAGATAAAATTATGTACACACCTGCAGCCAATAGGAGTACAGGTGTCCCTATAAGAGGGGATGCCTCCCCTCAATCAGCCTCCCGAGATATTTATCTTCAGCGAGACTAGAGAGGGTCGGCAGGGCCTTAAGTCCTATGGGGCTCCGCTCCACTCATAGAACTGGAGTTACACTCCGGTAACTAATCGTTCTATATTGTGGAGCTCCGCCCCTCTCTAGCTCTGCTCCTATTGGTTTAAGGCGGAGCGTAGCGCTCCAAAATGTACTCCCTGCCGAGCCCAACACTTCCCATCAAAATGAAAAGGTCAGGCCTAGCAATGGCTGCAACCAATTCCCGCAGTACTGTAACTACTGTCACCCTACAAGTGTCACAATATACTGCGTCATCGGTTAAAAACCCGCCCCACCTAGTCCAATGGCAACACCAATGACTAGTGGGCAGATCACCAGAATACAGGCCATACTAATCTGTACTAGCAGATAGATGGTACCTCAATATCCTGTTACAATACTACCGACCACTAATGGAATGACACAAAGTGTCACTCTACATTGTGTACACGGTAGGCCGCCTCACTCAATCAATGGAACCCCAGAGATTGGTGGGCAGATCCCAGAACATGATTCATACTAATCTGAACAAGCAGATAGATGACGTCACATTCCGTCAAATTGTCATGACCGGTCTAATAGTATCGTAACCAAGTTACTACTATTATCCCCCATCATTCCGCCTCACTCCAGTGAATCACTGGTGGGCAGATCAATACATGCCCTCTACTGTACTGAACCTGTCAGTCAGGAGTCATGCAAAAAATATGTCCTTCTATCAGAAGCGGACCTGATAGAGACCCTGTCTCCACAGTCCTGCATTCCTCTCCTCCTAGCTCAAAGTCTCCCTTCAGCCACGCTGAGTACAGACTGAGCCAAAGAGTTAGAAGACATATCCAAGAGATAGAAACTGATAAATGGAGACGGTGTTGACCATGACGCCGCTCTACATATATATCCTCTACCCCTGTTCCTCTGAAAAGGGCAGTAGAAGCTGCTACTCCACGAGTGGAGAGAGCTCTGATACCCTGAGGCAATTGTCGCCCGCTGCCTCATAAGCTGTCTCAATGCCCTCACAAAGCCAATGAGACAGACGCTGTTTCGAAAGTGGTCTACCTAGTGCAGCAGCACCATGACACACAAACAGCTGAGGCGATGACCTAATCGCTGCTGTGCGCTCGACGTTACACGCCAAGGCGCGTACTGGGCACAGGCGATGGAGCCTTTCCTCACTCCTCTCTCTATGAGGAGGAGGAGAAAAAGCCCACAGCTCCACGGTCTGTGATCTATATGAACTCCTAATAACCTTCGGCACAAATGCCGGGTTAGGATGTAACACCGCTCTGCTCAGATCGCCATTAATGGCCAGGCAGTCGGGTCTCGTCGAAAGAGCACACAAATCACTAACACGCTTAGCCGTAGTCAAAGCGAGCAACAGTGCTGTCTTCAAAGACAGCATCTTGAGGGGTATTTGATTCAATGGCTCGAACGGCGACTTACATAGCGCTTCGAGTACCAAAGCCAAATCCCACTGAGGAAGCGTTGCTCTAGGTGTTGGCCTAAGTCGCCGCGTTCCTAATAGGAAACGTTTCACTAGAGGGTGACTAAAGACATTGTCTCTGCCAAACCCCTTGTGACAATGCTGAAATCGCCGCTGCAAACACCTTAATGGTGGCGGGCGATCTCTGCTTGTCAAACATAAGCTGTAGGAAAGAGAGAATACTCTCAACCTGACAGTTCATGGGGTCTACACCTTGTGTGACACACCATTGTGAAAACACGTTCCATCTACTGGCATACATCTTATAAGTGGAATTGGCACGTGAACCCTGTATGGTCCTGATCACCGCATCAGATAACCCACGGCGCTCTAGCCTGTCCCTCTCAGCAGCCAGACCTT